GCTGATGTGGGATAGATTTATTACTTATTTACTCTCCGGTTTGGCCCGGCTTTTTGTTGGTCCGATTTCTGATCACTTTCGATGCCTCACGCCAGACCACGAAGTGATGGCGGCATGTAAACACACCCGACGCGAGCTGGAATCCAGGAATGTGTGTGTTAGTGTTTGTGTGGGTGTGAGAATGAGGCAGGGAATCTGTGTATTTATACCCACGCCTGAGTGTGTGTGTGTGTGTGTGTGTGTGCATCTTTGCGTGGGTGTAGATACTGTGTGTGCACAGTATGTGAATGTGTGTGTTTATGCATTTTTATATACATTTTCAGTTATTACATGTGTGCATATTGTGTTTGTGCATGCGTGTCCACTTGTTCTTCTTAATTGTGTGTCTTTAAACTCTGTGTGTGTTCTGCCTCCCCCTCAGCATTGTGTAATTAGTCGGTTGTAATCAGCGCCTTATAAAGGATCAATCAGGTGGAAGATAAACACGGCCTGGTTATGTAACACACTTCATTAAGAAGGAAAATGGAGCTGTGTGATCACAGGACATCGTTACAGTATTTACACTAACGGCTGCTCTTATTAATACTTCTAATGATGGGATTAAAGGTCATTCTACTTTTACAATTTTTAGGATGCAAATTTTAAGCAATTTTCCTAATAGATCGGCGTTAAAGGACAACTACAGATTGGTACTTATTTTCATGGTTTTGGCAACAAAGTCTGGCAAGAAATAAATGCAAGTCAAACAGGTTGTAAACAAGCCAACAGCCCGATTCACTGGACCATTTTTCAACCACATTTGGATGCAACTGTGTGAAAGCAGTTTTCCTGCGGTAAGTGCGGAAGGTTAAAGTTGAAGCGGGCCAGATAGTTTGGGGCACAACTTTACTGGTTCAGCACATTCTCATTCCCAGGGCTTCAAAAATAAAATATTGTCACATCCCTCGGTGTCTCTTACAGACGCACAAGGTACCCTGATGCAACAGGCTTTCATCTAACTCCAATGCAACCCAAGAACTTCAGGTGATGTGGTGAGAGGTCTGTGAGGAGGACGAGGTGGATGGATCGCTCAAACACCAGCTAACCCTAACCCTAACCCTAACCAAACTAACCCTAACCTTCACCCAGGAGACCAAGATTTCTGTCCCTTGTGAAACCAAAAGACATACGCAACATTCGCATGACTTGTTGCCACAATAATGGCAACGTGACATATTTATTTTAATGCAAATCGTGATGTTTTCCTAAACCTAACCAAATAGTTTTGCTACCTACACTAACCAAACGGCCATTTTTAACGTAAACATGCTAAAAGGCCGTCGGTTTTTGATTACCTTGGGTTTTTGTCAGCGTTTTGTCAGTTGTTAAACAAGACCCTGAAAGAAATAGAAATAATAATAAAATATGTGCATTAAATTACAATATATAACAACATTTATACATAGAAGATAAAAATAAAATGTGTAAAAATATGTACATTATATTAAAGTATATAACAATATATAGAAATAGAAATAAGACATAGTACAGTGTATGACAGAAGTGTAATGAATAAATATTAATAACTAATGATGCTGATAACTGGTTTCCAGAATACGTGTGCTAAAGAACAGTATACAGTATAACTGCAGTATTAATGACAGAGTATTGCACATTAACTAGAGTATTGCACATTAATCAGAGTATTGCACATTAATCAGAGTATTGTACATT